AATAAACAGAAATATATTTTTAAAACTGATGTGGTCATATTGAATTAGGGTGGGCCCTCAACACCATGCCAGGAGGCCTTACAGGAAGTCATGTGAAGGCACAAAGTCACACACATGCCGAAGAAAATGCCACGTGAAGATGGAGTTGGAGATGGGAGTGATGCACCTACAAGCCGAGGACTGCAGGCAACTACCAGAAACGGACAGAGGCGAGGAGGGATTCTTCCCTGGGCTCCTTGGAGGGAGCACAGCCCAGCCGACATCCTGATCTAGGACTTCCAGCCTCGAGGGAGTAATTTCTGTTTTCAGCTGCCCGGTTTAGGGTGCTTTGTGATGGCAGTTTCAGCAAATTAATACACATGACAAGTTGTATTATACTAAAATGGATCTGTACATTTCACATACAGACCATCTCCACGCTTTCAAAACAGCGCTTTTAAAAATATTTTTATTGATTTTAAAAAGAGGAAGGGTTCCCTAGAACCAAGATGGCGGCATAGGTTAACGCCGGAGTTTGCTGCTTTGAACAACTACTTCAAAAGTGAAACTAAAAGACGGAACGGACATCACCCAGAACCACAGGAACGCTGGCTGAGTGGAAGTCCTACAACTAGGAGGAAAGAGAAACGCATACGGACACTCAGAGGAGGCGCAGTGCTGAAGTCAAATTCTGAGGTGCGGAGTGCTCGGAGCGGGCTGGCGGCGGAGGGCGCGGTTGGCGTTTTCAATCGGGAGGGAGTCGCAGACTCTGAGCTCCAGATCCGGGCGAGTCTTTAGGGACCCAGACTCAAACGGGAGAAGCTGGACTGTCTGGCTTCGGTCAGAGCGAGTGCAGCTTTCTCTCCGAGCTTTGCAGCGGGTGCTGGGACTCAGAGAGGCAGAGCCCCTGGGGACAGGACTGAGAGCCGCCATAACTGCTTGCTCAGCCCGCCCTGTTGATCCTGTGCGACCCGCCCCGCCCAAGCCCTGCACACAGGCATTTGCCGGATAGCCTCAGGCAAACGCCAGATTAGCACCTCCCTAGAGGACAGAAGTTCTCTCACTGCTGACACAGCTGATTCTCATAGCCACTTGGCCTGGAGGTCAAACCCTCCCTGGTATTAGCTACAACAATCAAGATTTAACTATAAGACTGCGCACAAAGACCACTAGGGGGTGCACCAAGGAAGCATAACAAAATGCGGAGACAAAGAAACAGGACAAAATTGTCAATGGAAGATATAGAGTTCAGAACCACACTTTTAAGGTCTCTCAAGAACTGTTTAGAAGCCGCCGATAAACTTATTGAGATCTACAAGAAAACTAATGAGACCCTCGATGCTATATTGGGGAAACAACTAGAAATTAAACATACACGGACTGAAATAATGAATATTATACAGACTCCCGACAGCAGACCAGAGGAGCGCAAGAATCAAGTCAATGATTTGAAATGCGAGGAAGCAAAAAACACCCAACCGGAAAAGCAAAATGAAAAAAGAATCCAAAAATGCGAGGATAGTGTAAGGAGCCTCTGGGACAGCTTCAAGCGTACCAACATCAGAATTATAGGGGTGCCAGAAGATGAGAGAGAGCAAGATATTGGAAACCTATTTGAAGAAATAATGACAGAAAACTTCCCCCACCTGGTGAAAGAAATGGACTTACAGGTCCAAGAAGCGCGGAGAACCCCAAACAAAAGGAATCCAAAGAGGACCACACCAAGACACATCATAATTAAAATGCCAAGAGCAAAAGATAAAGAGAGAATCTTAAAAGCAGCAAGAGAAAGAAACTCAGTTACCTACAAGGGAATACCCATACGACTGTCAGCTGATTTCTCAACAGAAACTTTGCAGGCCAGAAGGGAGTGGCAAGAACTATTCAAAGTGATGAATACCAAGAACCTACAACCAAGATTACTTTATCCAGCAAAGCTATCATTCAGAATTGAAGGTCAGATAAAGAGCTTCACAGATAAGGAAAAGCTAAAGGAGTTCATCACCACCAAACCAGGATTATATGAAATGCTGAAAGGTATCCTTTAAGAAGAGGAAGAGGAAGAAAAAGGTAAAGATACAAATTATGAACAACAAATATGCATCTATCAACAAGTGAATCTAAGAATCAAGTGAATAAATAATCTGATGAACAGAATGAACTGGTGATTATAATAGAATCAGGGACATAGAAAGGGAATGGACTGACTATTCCTGGGGGGGAAAGGGGTGTGGGAGATGCGGGAAGAGACTGGACAAAAATCGTGCACCTATGGATGAGGACAGTGGGTGGGGAGTGAGGGCGGAGGGTGGGGCGGGAACTGGGAGGAGGGGAGTTATGGGGGGAAAAAAAAGAGGAACAAATGTAATAATCTGAACAATAAAGATTTAATTAAAAAAAATAAAAAAAAAAATAAAAAGAGGAAGGGACAGGGATAGAGAGATAGAAACATGGACCGGCTGCCTCCGGCACGCCCCCTACTGGGGATGGAGCCGGCAACCCGGGCATGTGCCTGACTGGGAATCGAACCCTGACCTCCTGGTTCATAGGCCAATGCTCAACCACTGAGCCACACAGGCCGGGCTGCACCAGGGCTTTTAAGTTCAGAAAGTAGATACACTGGGCCAAGCTGGGCCAGGCACTGCTCCTCCTCAAGTCTCTTTCTTGCTTCCTACAAAATAAGGAGCGGGGTGTGTGCCCAGTGGAACTGGTTGGGTAGCAAATATTTAGAGATTCTGGACCTATTTCTAACTACAGATGAAACCAGATATGCTTTACTAGAATTCAAATCAGAGAGCATTCCCCCCTCCCCCCGCAGCGGAGCCACTGTATTTCTTCTTTTGTTTTACTGTAAGTTCTTTCAACATGACACGTGTTTTGTTTCCTCTAAGTAACTGCTAATAATCTTTCTTTGAATGTCGAGTTTGTTACTGTTTTAAAGGCATGACTAGAAAAAATAAGACAGCAGGTGATCTTTATTTAGTCTTCTATAGGAACTGAATCCTGTTTCTTGGCAGCGTAAGAACGAGGGCCTCGCCTTTAGCTATTTTGGAATGAACAGGAATTGTTCCAATTTAATTAAGGTATTTTATAAACTGTCTCAGTGGGATTAAGTATCAGTCAATCCCAGGTCCGCAAAACTATGCCACGAGGTGTCACTACTTGGAATCCTTAATAGGGAACCAACATTGATTTTGCAAAACAAAACAATCCAAATCCAATGATGAGATCTGGAAGCTCAGAAGGAAGAATCATGAATGGTCCAAGTTTGAATAGCTTCTTCTCAAGAGATGGCCAGACTGTGTTCCTTTTGGGTGCACACCGCAAGCATTTAAGTACTAAAGACATTTTAATGGGCCCGGCCGGTGTGGCTCAGTGGTTGAGCATCGACCTATGAACCAGGAGGTCACGGTCCGGTTCCTGGTCAGGGCACAGGCCCGGGTTGCGGGCTCGATCCCCAGTGTGGGGCGTGCAGGAGGCAGCCGATCCATGCTTCCCTCTCATCACTGATGTTTCTCTCTCTCTCCCTTCCTCTCTCTGAAATCAATAAAAACATATTTAAAAAAGTATAAAAAACCCCAAACCAAATAAAGCCCTTTGAATGGCTTCTCCATGTGGCCAGTGAGTCCTTCACTGGCTACTTTGCTGAAATGGCCTCTGAGGTCTGAAACAAGAGCCGAGAAGCGCATCTCTGGGCTGGAGGTCACGGTGCCCGCGTCGCCCATGCTGATTAAGCGCTCACCAAAGGGCGGCTCAGTTTGGATCGTGAGAACCAAGTGCCTCCCAACACTGCCCCGGGCCCGCAGGCAGGGACTGGGGCTCCCGCGGAGCCCCGTCTGCCCAATTCTGCAGACGTGGCGTCTTGTCACCCAGCCAGGTGTGCTGGGAGGCAGGTGCTGACACGGTAGACACATCTGTGAGTGTAGAAGTCAGAAGCACCCACGCGAACTGGAGGCGTGTCTTTCCTCTCCAAACTCCGAGTCTCTTCTGAGGCTGGAACAGCGTCTACCCAAGAAGGCAGCCGTCATTCCAGACGTTTCCGTGAGGTCTGAGGCTGGCATTGGGCAAGAGCTGCTGGCTGGCCCCGCCCCAGAGGCCAGCCTGTCCCTGCCCACCCGCCCTTCCCTGTGGACACCAGCCCTGGCATTTCCCCTGAGTCTCAGGCTTGGGGCGCTCAGACCCCTTGTTGTATTAGTGAGAGAAAGACAACTTCAGACACCAATGTGGGCGTCTCAGCCTTTCCACGACAGGGAGCCCTGGATCTAGAGGAGGCCAGTCAGTCTGAGCCAAGCCCTAGCCACCGACTGCACTGACATAAGCCCAACGCCACGGTCAGGGCAGCTCCTTGCATCCATCGCATGGCCCAGGCCCAGCGAAGGGCATGCCTCCTGTGGGGGCCGCACCCGGTGAACGCTTTGCATCATGGGCAGCAGTGACAGAGCACAACAGACATGTGAATAGCCGGGAACAGAGGCCAACGTCTGATTTCAATATCATATTGACAACCACATTTTACTAAAACGTGACTGAGATGAAGGAGGGTGGGAACGGTCGGCTTCTGCTGTCTCTGTGCATCTCGACCTGCTCGCAACGGCCCTGTCCCTTCATAGTGATGTGCATTCTCTCTCAGAAAACCGGCAACATTAGATCTGAAATGTGGGAACACGGTCCATTACCCAATATTTTCTTGGCTTTTCTCTCTCCTATCCTCATGCTTGAGGCGCGATGTTTTCAAAACAGTGTTTAAAGCAGTGAAAAGTGACCACGGCTGAGATCAATGGGTTCTTCTAGTAGAAATACACACGCATGATTTTTTTCACCGTGACTTGTGAGGCTATACTGTACTGTGCTCTCCGTCATCCAGCACTTTATTTTAGTTCTGAATCTGTGATGGATGATTGCCCACAGACTTAAGGCAACTGACAAAGGACTATTATTATGGACATCGAGAAATGAACATAAAGTGAAATGACATGCTGAATACTTACCCCCCCAAAACGATAACAAAAAGGAAGACTTACGTCTAGTAGCGTGTGAAGATGCTGGTCTTGGAATACGCTGTGGAGAAAGTCTAAGTCCTTCTCGCTGCAGTCTGTGAGCGCGTGGATCTCTTCCAGGCTGTCCAGCACCTGTGAGACGGCTCCTGGGGGGACAGACAGAACAACAGCCGGCACACAGTCAATGGCGGACCAACCTGGGCCATCTGCGTGCTGCATTTCAGAACAACGGGCTGACCGGCAGATGTCAAAGGTCAGTGTCCTGAGCGAAGGACAGGCTTACACAGAATTTCAGATCTTTCAGGATGGAGTATTTTTGCTGAGTTTATGTTCTTAACAATGTAATGTGTGCGCTTCATTTTTCAGAGTAAATCGAAGCTGGTCTTACTTGAATTAAGGAAATTGATCAACTATAATCGAGCCGCTAGAAGACCTGGGTTCCCTGGCCCCATGAGGTGCTGGGATATTACAGGAGTAACACGGTGACCCTTGCATATAGGCCATTCCAGCAGGAACTGAAGGTAAAGCCAGATCTGAGGGACCAACCCCTTCAACGGGAGCCCCTGCCGTGTAAAATAGGCTTCTTGGGACTTTTAAGGCTCAAACTTGAATTAGCAAATATCTCCATCCATTCTTTTTCCTTTGTTCACAAAGTCAAGAGAAGCAAGTCACCCTCAGTCCACTGGACCTTTCTATTCAGAACACAAAGACGAAGGGTAAGTATACTGACTGACACTTCCAAACACCATCCTATATAATAAAAGCCTAATATGCTAAGTGTCCGGTCATCCGTCCAACCAATCAAAGCGTAATATGCTAATGATATGCTAAGGCCGCTCAACACTTGCTATGACGTGCACTGACCACCAGGGGACAGACGCTCCAACTAGTAGGTTAGCTTGCTGCTGGGGTCCGGCCAATTGGGGCTGAGCGAGATGGGCCGGACATGCCCTGGAGCCCTCCCACGGTCCCTCCATGGCTGGATAACCTCCCATGTCCCTCCCCAGCTCCTCGTGCACCAGTGGGGTCCCTCGGCCTGGTCTGCACCCTCTCGCAATCCGGGCTGAGGGACCCCCCCCCAGAGTGCACAAATTTTGTGCACTGGGCCTCTAGTGTTAAGTATTAGGGCAGACCATTTCTGCAAGGCCAAGCATATGGTAGTGCAGTCACTTTCTTTCAATTTCCTCTTCTGACCAGGAATCTCGAGAGCCAGCAGCAGGGAAAATATACACCAATTAGTAACAAAGTCTTAAAGAAATGACTAGCTTTCTTTACCCTGCAGACAGCCTGTACACATTTACTCCAGAGAAAGAAGAGAAACCCTGAGAGGCGGGGCTTCAGGAACCAGCGCGCGATGCTAGGGAAATTCTAAGCACAAGCGCCTTGTCGCACATGTAAGTCTTGGATCAGCAGTTTTCAGTGGCAATTTTGTCCCACATTTTTGCATTCTTGGTTGTCACAACTGTGGTGGTGAGGGGACAGGTTGTGCTACTGTCACTAGTGGGTAGAGGCCTGGGGTGCTATTAAACAGTCCACAATGCCCAGGACAGTCCCCCTTCCCTGGAAAGAATGATGCATCCTCAAATATCAACAGTACTGAGGTTGAGAAACCTTGCTTTAGATGAAGATACGAATCGGGAATCTGTCTGTTCTGGAACGCGATGCTGTTTCTAATTACTTCGGTCTTGGACCTTATCCATTTGCACGCCCTTAGTGGTAAGAATGTAAATGGGTACCACTTTTCCAGAAAGCAATCTGGTAACAGAACGAAGAGCCTTAAAAATGCTCATGAGGCCCTGACTGGTGTGGCTCAGTGGATAGAGCGTCGGCCTGTGGACTGAGGGGTCCCAGGTTCGATTCCAGTCAAGGGCATGTACCTTGGTTGCGGGCACATCCCCAGTGGGGAGTGTGTAGGAGGCAGCTGATTGATGTTTCTCTCTCATCGATGTTTCTAACTCTCTATCCCTCTTCATCTCCCTTTCTCTCTGTAAAAAAATCAATAAAATATATTTAAAAAAATGCTCATGAGCTTTGATTCGGTAGTTCCATTTACAGAACCCACCTTAAGGAAAAACAGGAAATGACGACAAAGTATTATATATAAAGATTTTATATATATATATATATATACATACACACACACACACACACACACACACACACACACACATATATGCCTAAGTGACCTTTACAACCAGTCGACCAAATGACCAGTTGCTATGACACTCACTGACCACCAGGGGGGAGATGCTCAACGCAGGAGCTCCCCCCCGGTGGTCAGTGCACTCCCACAGCTGGTCAACCTCCCGTGGTCCCTCCCCCTGGCTGGCCAGCCAATCTCCTGCAGTCCCTCCCCCCAGCCGGCTGCCCCGATTGGCCCAGATTGCCGGCCAGGCCAAGGGACCCCAGCTGTGCACGAATTCATGCACCAGGCCTCTAGTTTATAATACAAAATGGAAAAAAATCTAACAATTAGGAATGATCACATCAAGTACAGGACATCTATAGAATGGACTATGTAGCCAAATGAAAACTGCTTTTAAAGACTTTTAAGAACAGAATCCCTCATGATATGAAATTCAACAAAGCAGAATACAAAACCACATAAATGGTATTTCCCCAATTGTGACCGATAAATACATAGTCAGAAAAACCCCCGAATGAAATACACCAAAAGGGTAACAGTAGTTATCTTTATTTTCCTATTCAGACTTCATTCCGTTCTTATCTATACGTTCCAACTTTTCTCCACTAGAAAGCAAGTTGCTATATAAGCAACTGCTTCTTTGCGGTACTATTTATTATGTTAGAGATGTGGCGCTTAAGCTATAAATCAAGTGGTTATCCACATGGAAATTACTGTGGCCAGTTTTATTAAAATTTGATTTTTTATTTTGTGATTCACATCCATGTATTATTCACAACTGGATGTGAATGTGCCTTTAAAACGTGGTGATGGGAATATTCTGTAGCCTAACTTGTATCAGTGTCAGCATCCCCATTATTATAATACAGAGATCTCACGTGCACTCCCCCAGGTTCCCCCAAAACTGTCATATAACGTCACAAAGGCACATTCATTTCCCTCCCCCCTCTCCCTCCTAACCCCCAGCAACTACTAGTCTCTTCATCTATACCAGTGGTTCTCAACCTTCCTAATGCCGCCACCCTTTAATACAGTTCCTCATGTTGTGGTGACCCCCAACTTCATTGTTACACATTGAACATAATGAAAGCATAGTGATTCATCACAAAACAATATGTAATTATATATGTGTTTTCCGATGGTCTTAGGTGACCCCTGTGAAAGGGCCGTTCAACCCCCAAAGGGGTCGCGAGCCACAGGTTGAGAACCGCTGATCTATACCTTTGTCTATTACTGTAACATTTCAGAGATGTTATAGTAATGCAACACACAGTATATAACCCTTTGGGATCGGTTTTGATACAGCATAATTCTCTGGAGATTCATCCAGGTTGTTGCGTGTATCAATAATTTAATCCTATTATTATTATTTTTTTTTAAATATATTTTTATTGACTTCAGAGAGGAAGGGAGAGGGAAAGAGAGATAGAAACATCCATGAAGAGAGAGAAGCATGGATTGGCTGCCTCTTGCACACCCCACACTGGGGATCAAGCCTGCAACCCCGGGCGTGTGCCCTGACCCGGAATCGAACCCTGACCTCCTGGTTCATAGGTCGACACTCAACCACTGAGCCACACTGGCTGGGCTAATTTAATCCTTTTTAATGTTGGGTAGTATTCCATGGCATGGATGTACCACAGTTTGACCATTCACTGTGGAAGGCACTGTGGATACCTTTTAGTTTTGAATAACTACAGACACCAGGCTTTTCTTTCACTGAAAACATTAAACAGATATGAGTGGGATAAAAAGTACAAGGCAGAAATCAATCCTCATTTTCCCCGCTGTTTCTGAAAAGGTATGAACACGTTAAGCGCCCAGCCTGTTTTGTCTTCCGGACAGAAAGTATAGTGTCAGTCCCTGGTGACTGGGCGCTTACCGTGTTAATCTAATCCACTTCCTTCTACCTGCTCTTCTCAGGGCCTTTTCTTTGTTCTGAGTAGGAAAAAAAATCTGGAAATGAGTTCAAGGCCAGCTCACTCATCATCCTTTATTGAAAGCCTTGGAAAGCAAGAGATGATATGAAGAAAGTCCCACGTGTTGCAGTGAACTCCCGACCCCAGCGCACCATCAATAGCAGAAGTAGAGGACTCCAGCTTTAGGAAGCAACTAAAGCCAGTTCTAAACTTCTGGCCTTATGGAACGGCAATGACAAAAATATGAGTGAAAAAAATTTTTTTTGTATATTAAAAAAATTCAACAGATAGTGTGGAAACCTAATAATCATTTTCACTCAGTTATTTTAGTGAAATCTTAATTTTCATTGTTTTTTTTTCCCCCAACAATGCTTATACTGCTGATATATAATCTAGGTAGAAGTTGATGAAAATAGCCCAGCGCCGTGGCTCAGTGGTTGAGCGTCGATCTATGAACTAGGAGGTCTCGGTTCAATTCCTGGTCCAGGCACACGCCTGGGTTGCGGGCTCGATCCCCAGTGGAGGGTGTGCAGGAGGCAGCCGATCCATGATTCTCTCTCATCATTGATCTTTCTCTCTCTCTCTCCCTCTCCCTTTCTCTCTAAAATCAATAAAAATCTAAAAAAAAAAAGATTAAAATAAAACAACCTTGTATCTAGTGAATACTAAGGCGGCTAGTGTAACAGCTGGGAAGTAATTTTGGCTGAACCAGATCAATGTATCATTTCTTGGTCTGTGAATTCCCACAGGTCTGTGCAATTCCTGTCCCACCTACACACTCCATGCATCACCCTATGTGTGCACTTGTTCATGCTCCTTTTCTGTGCTGGGAAGTCCTTAAGGCAGGTCTATATTTGATTCATTTTGTAACACCACAAGGTACGCACTGACTTAATGAAGCACTAAAACAACATCATAATAGCAGCAGCAGCTCCTGATTCTTGAGCATTTATTATGTGCCAGGCACATCCTCAGCAAAATGCAGCAAGGTAGATGCACTACCTGACCTTTCTAGATGGGGAAGGGAGGTTCAGAGGCCAAGGAAGGCCACAGCTCCAAGTGGCAGAGCCAGGACTCAACT